AAGAGCACAATGCATCTTCAGGAAGGTAATTTTAAATTACATTTGAAAAACAGCATAATTTTTGCCTGCATAATGATTTGAGTAACTGGAAAAGTTCTGCTGATAACCAATCAGTTTTGAGATGCTAGAATGTATCAATACATGCAGCTAAAGAAACCTGAATTGTACTTACCTGGCATGTCTACACATTGCCTTACAGCGACATGCTATCTCACAGGACAGCAGTGCTATAGTGACGTGATCACGTGGGTCTACACGTGATTGCCAGCTACGTTGCTGTAGCAGCGTGCTTCCTAGCTGTTGCACAGATAAAGCGACATAGCCAGTGAATCTAACTGTGAGCCGCCCATACACTGCAGTACCGGTGGCTACTGTGCCATATTTTAGTACTTCCCTCAAGCAAGTGCTAAAACATGGCACAGTACCAACATCGCTGCACAGCCACGTGTAGACATGCCCACTGCCTTTCAATAATACAGGCAGCATGAAACACAGCAGAGACTGTATCAAGAAAGTATGAATGAGTTTAAAAACAAGCGACTGAGCAATTCCTCCAGCATTATCCATTTTGTATTAAAAGAAAACTGCATATTTAAGTTATCTATACAGGATATTATTGAAAAGACTAGAAATAATTCTATTAAAACCTCTTCACGTATGTCATTTCTTGTGACGTAGCTATCAAATTGACATCATTGGCTAAGTTCTTAGGAGTGATGCAATGCTGATTTGCTATGCTGGCTAAAATACATAGGAGTTTGACACCAGCTTATTTATAGTAACACTTTGCCCCAATGTACACTGAAAATTCATGTTCTGACCAAGTGACTAGGTCTAAACCATACTACAAAAGTTGCTATTGCAAATTAAACACTTATAAATCATTTTGTTTCACTGAACTTGGTAACTATAAAACCTTTGTTCTAACCAACAAATTCCTTAGCTGGAAAAACCTCATCAGAATACAAAGAACTGAAACGGTAATTGCTTACTGTCATTGTCTGCTATTTGGTACAGAGCCACACACATTTCCAAGCACATGGTATTTTGGAATAAAAAAGAGACTAGTGCTGCCATGGCTCATGAAAACAAGATTTATATCTTTGTATCTTGTCTCCCCCTCCAGTCCAACCGCCAATCAGGAAAAAATTTAAGTAAATCAAACTAAATTAGCTCCCTTACCTTCATAATGTTCATTAAGTCTGTCTGATAATAGCGATCTTGGTGTGCATTAGCAGCTGCTAAAGTGAGAAGGTAATCATTTCTTGCATGTATAGCCTTTGAATTACACTCGGCCCGTCGTGCTTTTAACTATATCCAGAAAAGGAAATATAAAGAGGCAGTTGATTTTTAATGGAAAAAGGACGGTTAAGTAATTAAAAATCAAGCATGATTTTATATCATGAACAAAGATTTAAAAATAATGATTTTTTTAATGGCTTGACTTTTTTTTTTTTTTTTTATAGTGGGTATTTGTAATATCTGCTCATACATAGTTTACATTTAAATTATACCTCTTTCATTAGACAAATGCTTCTGCCCAAATTAATTGTACCTTGTTCTACATTCTGCTCCAGCTGATCAGTTATTCTAAAGATAATGTGCCTGATAAACAGAAAGCATCTCTAAATTTGTTATATGTCCCATGAAAGTAACAATGCTTATTATCATCTTACATTATAGCTCAATTATTCTTAAACTTACCTTCACGCTTGCCTTCTGTAAGCTTATCCTTGACTGAAAAAGACTAAGTTTAGACCTGTAATAAAAATCAACAGAACAGATTTATATCTTAGATGTCTCTAAATGGTATGGCACACAAATAGGCTCTCTGGCTTTTTGGATTTTAGTTTTTAAAAACAGCAATTAAAATGTAGTAAGATAACATAACAATTGTTTGGGGAGCTCAAGATGGCATTTTTATACACAGAAGTAAGTTTCTGGAAATCTAGGCAGTGACTGCAAGAGAGGCATGAGCTCATTTACATTGAGAGGGACGGGTTTTTTTTTGTGATTTTGTTTCTTAGACCAACTGCTTAGCTGAGAGAGATGCTGGGCAAGCTTTTGGGCACAAAATGTCCATTTACATCATTTTGAACCTTCGCTGCCTGTTCTGAAATATTGTATTCATTCTGTATAGACTGAATGAAATATGGCAGGAAGGCCTGGTGGCAGCAGGAACACAAGAAATGCTTTTATTACTTGATACCGAATGGATTTGAAAGCCTTCTGTCTGACAGACAGTACTGAAAATTGGAGCTACTGGTCTTCTAATAGGAGAGCAATGCAGTTAAGCTCAGGTAAGGGCGCAGTCTGATCACTTGGAGAAATGTTTTAAAGCAGGCTCAAACCTAATTTTGACATTTGGATGAAGAGGTGAAAATTAAGGTTTTTCCATATTAGCTGTTAAAGACAGAATGCAGGTAAGTATATAATGAATATGACATTTAGTCACAGTAAAGAATGAAACTTAGCTAACATCATGAAAACTTGAGTTCTGCAATGTATGATTGATTAACGATATCGTATGGAATAGAAAGTCCTTGTGGAACACAAAATACAAATAACAGTTTCAACTAAGATCAAACATTTCGGCAAAAAGATGCATTTTGAAGAGCCCCAAACAGATTTTCGGTGCGATCAGTATCACACAATCCTTGTAAATCGTATCTAATGTTTCACCTTCCTTCATGAACAACAGACACTCATAAATGCCATGCAAGAACCTGGCACTTGAAAAGGAATAACAAAAAATTTAAATAACTAGTCCCCAGTATTTACAAAATATTACAAAAATGTAACTTTAGCGGTGTCATCTTTCCATGGACAAAATTATTTCAGGCTCAAACAACTTCATTAAGATGTCTTACTCTTAAGAATACGCTCCAAAATGTAATCTATAAACTTCCTCAACACAGACTTCAGGTATTTTGATGATGATGCTATGATATAACCATATTACTTCTAGCACTAAATACACAACTACCCTAATTTAATATTGAAGTTACAATACTGTTTCCCCACTAAAGCCAGGTCAAGCACTCAAAACTTTGACTGTTGTATATCGCTGGTGAGATGCTTATGACATTTTTATGTCAGCCAAAGTCTTGATGTAGAAGCACTACTACTGATATAAATGCTTTTGTTGCTATATCTTATTTTGTTAAGGGAACTGCTTATATCAGCAAAAGCACTTGTTTTTGTCCATTTAAGCTCGTTTGCTGATGGAGCCATACTGGCAAACCTTTTTCTAGTATAGACCTAGCCTAAGCTCATTCTAAAGAAAAATGATAAACTTGGTGACACACAATTACAACAGAAAGCCAACATGTAAATGCTGACTGTTGGGCAATAAAGCACAGATTTCTAGGACTAGGACATTAGTAGGTGACAGGTTTACAGTTAACAAGAAAAGGAGGTGGTGGAGGCAGGTAACATAGCCAGGTACAAAAAGGGACTGGATAGATTCATGGATCTGTTAGTGGCTATTGAACAGAATAGATGGCGATGTTTCCTCTGGTATCTCTATACCAATAATGCTGGAGGCCAGGAAGGGTACTGAAGAGGGGACAGATCACTCTATAGAGATACCCAGTTCAATAGCATCCATTTCTGCCACTGCTGGAGACAGAATATGGGGCTTGATGGACCAGTGGTCTGACCCAGCATGACACTTCTTATGTTCTTAAGAGAATAATACAAAAGTGATTCCACCAATACATTCTCTACTGCCTTAAATAAGATCTTTGTCTCTATGGCAAGATAGGTGTCCTATTTTAAGTGACAGACAAGTAAATACTGGGTTGGAGCTGCCAACCCTGTCCACAAAGCACCCTTCCAAGTAAAACACATGATGGAGCTGGCAGGAGAGAAGGAAAGGGCAGGTATAGGAACACTGTGCATGGGAATATTGGACCCTGTGGGAAGAGTAGGTAACTGGCTTCCAATCTCACATAAATCTGAGTGATTTGCTATAGGCCAGACAACCCGTATGGATGTCTGACGTCTGCTCAGGTGGTCTTGGATCCTGAAATCCCTCTCCAGCTCTGCAGAAGCATCATTTGTGTGCCACTTCTCCCCACAACCTCGGTCGCTGGAATCCCCCCACAAAAAGAATTTAATGGGGAAAAAGAGGCTTCTGCAAGAAATGTCACAGGCTCTGAGCTGAATGACTCATTTAAAGCTAGGTTAGCTTAACAGGGGGATGACTTTCATTTCCCCCAGCTCTGACCGCAAATTGGAGAATCCTTGGATCCACTCAGATACCTCTGAACTA